CAAAGGGGTGTCGTTGACAGTTCCGGTTTCTGGACTAATTGGACGTAATGAAGTTTATAGTAGTAACATTGTTGTTAGAGTATACGTATGTAAATATCATGCATAATAATAACACTACTAGTATATGTATCGCATATCTCTAGAAAAATCTAAGTGAACTTGAAGTTGACACGAGCTCAGAGTTCCGGAAGACGTGTCTATCCACGCAAATCGTGGTACTGAAGCCAGAGAAACCGCACACAGCCTCGGCGATGTAACGACAGGTCCAACATCAACTCGTTCCAACTACCGGGCTTTGTCACGGCAATCTCTAAAACACGGAGTCGTTTTGTACATAACACAATGAAACACTGGGCACACAAGCACGCGATCGGTCCCACGAGGGAGAAGTATGAACGCGACGGTATAAAAGACACAAATTGTATTCTTTTACTGAATAACGTGACATTGAATTAGATTACAGGGTAGCCCAATAAAAAAAGACTGTAATGGAAGAGGGAATATATTCGACGATGTTGTTATTGGTGGGTGCAGTTATGTGTGGTCAGTTACTGTAAGGCGTGACAGTTATGTTGCGGTATGGGTTCCTTGTTCAGACGGCGATGGATTCAACGGCAATTACACAGTCTTGTTGTTTCTTTTATAATATGATTTGTCATTTGTTTTAGAAAAAAAATATGTAAATTTGGGTTTTTTAAGGGTCGCGAAACAGTAGAAGTTGATGAGACCGGTGGATGCGTGATTGTATTGTCTGGTGTTAGTGTAATGATCATCTCGGCCTTTGAGAATGTGTGAAAAGGGATCACTGCCTGGCGTACTTAGATTAATGTGTTGTCAGTTTGCGACAATGGAAAGGAAAATAGATTAGAAATAGGTATGAATTGAAACGAAGAAACCTGTTCCACATGTGGCGCGGTTCGCGGTACGTTGCAGGTAATTGTATTCTGAATAATAAAAGCAATGTTTCCAAACTTGATGTCGAAATGAGCGATCAGTCATTTTATATTTTAATTAAATTAAAAAAAAAGAAATTGAACTCGGAACAGAATATGTCCGAAATCCATGCGTTAATCGATGTCACAAGTTACTTCGATTTTAACTAATGACTACCGATTTATTTGTTTACATATTGGTTTGATGGACGCGAATATCTTTGTTTGTGCTTCTGCGCTCTTTTGAAGCACCTGAATAGTTTGCGGTGTGCCGAGGATCCCGCAAGTTTGATATTTCCGGGCAAACATACACGATAGTGAATTGTTGAGTCCCGGTAGCGGCTACGACGGAAACAAACTGACAGCGCATACACATTCTATCTTATTCTATTTATATTCTGTCTATTTTTACTATGAAATTATTAAATAATAAACATATTTCGTTATGAACATGAAAAAATAACAACGATTATAACATACTGTAGAACACGTTGAAATAGCTGCATGCAATTTTAGCGAATTTGACTCTCGGCATGAATTAACAGAATTTTAATTTAGCTAAAGTGTCGACTATCTCCCTGTGAGAATTAGCGAAATCACAAATTAGCTAAAACAACATGCTAACTAAAAAGACATGTTTTACAGTACATCGCGATGATTTCAAAAGACGGCTTGAACTTTTTTTCTACTTGATGCCAAATTTCATGAGAACTGCAAACTCCCGTCTTGGTGTGGTGGATGATTTTAAAGCCATGTGACGATACATTGAGTTAGTTATTCGGCGTACGTTTAAAGCGAGCTTGATTTCCGAGTTGCTACATACACCGCAGGCGTCATCTGCGTTTGGTGCCGGCTGTACGCTGCAGCGGTGATATAATAAATTGCATATTTCCCGCCCGAGAACCGTGGCTACATGCGACATTGGTTGCCTTGAAAAAAAAAGAATAATACACACCACGTTGGGCCGATCGTCGGTATGTTCAATACCACGGACAAAAAAAATAAACGAAACTTAATTTCAACTGATTAGTATTAGTGACTAATTGACTGTGCGAATAGGGTTTTATTAAGACACATGTATGCATGTTTTTTCTTATGAATAAGTGACCTAACAATCTTTGTCTTCCACCAACTCCCTACAAAGCTTAGTATGTCTTACTAGTACATCAGACTAAAACACCCCATCGCGCAAACACCTGGAAACCTGTTTAAAATGACGCCACGTGTTACGTCTCAATCAAAGAAAGTTTCTGGGTCGCCAACAGCCCGGTTTATAATGTTGTACAAAGCGGATTCCCCGAAAATTTTCAAAAACAAAATTGAAAAGCTGCGTGATAGTTATTCTGTGTCAGATGCAGAGTCAATAAAAAGGAAAATCGCGGATGAATTCATAAATCATAGTCTGTGTACAAAGGGTGTCTTCTTTTACAGCCTTTCTTTGAAAACCCTCCGCCGACGAATGCTAACAAACTCAACTATAAGCTACAAAGATAATTATTTACAGTCGGTTCGGATCGTAAATCAGTATTTTGGGGACTTAAGGGTGAAATATGCTACGCAGATTTAGGATTTGTGTTTAGGAAGGGCGAGCGGCTGCCGCAATCTGTCAAATTAAACCACGTAACATTTGTTTAATAATTTTTTCTGCTTTAAATCAGTATCAACAAACAGAGGCGAAGGCGAAGGCTGTCTTGTTTGATTAAAAGCATGCTAACAATGAAAATGGACGTTCAACAGTTTGTGCTAGATAGGACATGTTACTGGAATGTTACAAATTATGCTCAAGTCGCTGTACATCAAATACAAAGTAGAGAACGGAAATTTAGTCAAGGGTTTTTTAAAAATCGCTATAGACTAACGTCTACGCACTAGCATATGCCACCTCCACCATTCCCTCTACCGTCCGGGCGACATAACCTTCCACAAGCAGATTTTCACCCGCCAAAAACATGGTTACAATTTTTTTTTTCACATTTTCAGAAATTTTATTAAGTTTCAATGTTGTTAATGTTGGACAATTATGACAATTATTTTCTTACATGTTTCGAGCAAGAGTTGTAACATCTCGGTCTGTTTTTGGAAACAATAAGACAGTGAACGCAAATGACGATTTTGAGAAATGCGACAATTCGCGTTTGCAAACCTGGGTGATATGCTTCCACATGTTCAGTTTCATTATTGTTCGCTGTTGAACTTAATCCAGTGGTCCTTTCACTTGTGTGGTCGGTATTTGAAGCCGGGTTTTTTGGGACGAATTCGCTCTCTTTTATCCATTCTACGGTCGCGTCAATCTTTGCATTGTGCGTTTTATGACTTGAAACATTTGAAGAAGAAAAAGACAGAAAACTTGTCAACACAAAACATGTACTACCTTGACTTTCAGTCAAATCAATTGTTTTAATTCGCGTGACTGACACGCAATATAACGACTTGTACAAATTGTTATAATGATACCGTTGTCGTTATTGTGTCGTTATTTTTTTTTACTGTGTACTATAAGAATTAACGGCATCCAGTAAGTCTGAAAAACGCGATAGCCATTTCTTACGTGTTGTATAATCCGGTTTAATTGTGTTTTTTATTGGAAATTTTAATATTTTCGGGAAAGGTACTTTTTTGAGATAGTAATCTAGATGTATTTTTATAATTGCAGTGAATAAAATTGATGTATATAATCATTAACCTTTGCAGCACCACAGTCAACTTTTGCCCCCTTTTTCACAGATATAAATTCCAGATTTGGTATTCAAATTGCTCACCACGATCTAGTGCCAATGTGGTATCATGACTCTCTTGTTGGAAATTAACTAAGAAATTACATAGAAAAATAGTACGTAAAAAATGGGGAAAATGTAGTATCAATATATTGGTAGGGAGTATGGTAGCGCTTGGAGGGTTAATTATGTTAGAGAAAACACTGGGTTATTTCTCAACGACTTCAATATTGAAGAATCTCCACCGTCCCGCTGAGCGGCGGGACTAGTGGAACGAGCGGGGCTTATGTACATCAAGCGAGTTATTCATTTTTAGCTTAATACCGTTCTACTCTGGCAGACCTTAATAAGTTTCATCGTAAATGCCCGATGAAAATTCTATTTAAATCATTCGATTTGTTTCACTATTGCGCTCGGCTTCCGTCGTATCAGTTCTGGTTGCCCCAGGCACCCCCGTTCATCAGCAACGTAATATGATATTGGAGATGCAGGTACGTATTTGTTAAATTCAAAAAAAAAAAAAATCAACTCTGTGTAAATTCCTGATATGATCCGATTCACAGCTTACCTATTGGTGTGGTTTCTTCGGTATCCTCCGATAAATTGTCGCCATCTTGCCAACGATTCGTGTCGCGTGCTGATTTTGCTAGTTGCCGTCGCCAACTTGGTTTGAAAATAAATGACTCATTTTCGAAATCGTAATGGGAGTGTTCAGCCGGTCGCACACCGGCATGAAATTTCGTTTCGATTGCGATTTTATTGTACCAGGCTGACAAGCTCTCTATTATGACCGTATATGCTTGCGATCGACTCGTTCCCGCGTTTACGGTCGCCATAAAAAATCACAGTCTGTGCTCGGTAACAAGTTCGTGTGGTATGTTTATTCCTCAAAAAAAAACAGGTTCTGGCAAATACAGCATAACTATTTAAGTCAAAAGCGATCTGAACTTGTTTTGTTGTTTTTTTGCCACAAAGTTGAAAACCACTGAACGAATAGCGCTGTAGGTTTAGGAGAAGTAAGGCCCAAAGGGGGAATAAAAAAATAGACTTTGGTCTGCCGACAATGTTGCGAGTTCTACTAGTTTGGTTTCTATTCGCTACACCAGGGACGCCTAAGGAAACAGTGGCAGACGGTTAATATCTACAGTCAGCTTAATTAGATATTCTTTGTTAATATCTGAAAGAAGAATTCATTTTTTGCCAATCCTCAATACACGTGTCGGCATTTCTAACAGAATTACACATTTCAAGGCCTGATTTCGCTTTCTGTGTGTTGATTGGCGGAGAGTCAGTCACGTGATTTGTCGGCAAGTGTTTTTTGTGGGCTGAGTACTTCGTCGCCTCCCAATACACGTTGAGCTATAATGTAAGGCAACTTCTCACTCACATCCACAACACACTGCTTCGGCACCTCACTCGGCGACGGGCTTCCAACAGGCCCATTTTTTTTCAGTGTCGAGTATTTGACGCCTACCCCACAACCTACGCATCGTTATTGACTGAGAACAACGCCATTATTGCTTAGAGTCAAGTCTCGTGAAGCCAGCGACGTGTTTTACGGCGATATTTTACTACGCTATAGTCATCGATGTCGTAACTTCTGCGTTTTTTAGCCGACATTAGAGATTGACGCCTACAGCAGACATTTCCCCCTTTTTCCATTTGTTGACGATCTACGTACGAATAACAGTGGAGTTGAAACCGACACACATTCTACGACGCCGCAATGCAGTACAATACGCAGACCATGGCTGCATCGCAAGGGCTAACACCGCCAACCAAACCTTTTCACAGTTTAGGCGCGTTTTACGATGGGCCGTCCAGTAATAACTCATTCAATCTTCCAACTAACACGAATTATGTTGGTTTTATGAGTGGCTTTCCCTACCACCATGCAAGCGGTGGTCAGAATTTGGGATCGTACGGCAACGAAAATCCATCCTGGCATGTGCAGAACGACACGACTAATACTTCTAGTTACTTCACCAACCATACCGGTATCCTAGGTTCAAGTTCCATGGTGCAGTCCGACTTCAGCCGAAATTACCCGGTGACACAGCCACCACAACACAGCCAGGACACGACACCGAAACAACCACAGACCACACCAGGTAAGACCTCGTCGTGTTGAGATCATTTAACATTCCAATAAAAATTACTCACTCCGCGCTCCGAATAGTTAAGATTATATAGCTCCCACAAAGGATCCTCGCGATCCGGAGAAAAAAAAAATGTGACGAGAAATAACACAGTCTGGTGGTTTTCATCGCTTCCAGGTTCGGTGAAATGTTGTCAGCTCTATCCTGGCCCAGTCTACTGTGTGTGTAATATTTTATTTCCCATATAACACCAACCAAATGTACAACCACTGGATCGTAAAATTTACTCCGCCAACTTCGTCTCATTATTACCTCGTCCTGGTCACTATTACGGAACTTTACTGCCTATCTGCATCGTTATTCCCACTCTGTGAATAACATGTTCCATTTTTTTTAACAGTGAGTCGGGAATACTTTATTTCATATACATACTTCCCATCTACAATTTATTTGAGTATGGCTATATGTAAACTTACAGGCACCAACACAAATCGGCGGGGGTCGATTTAGAAGAAAAAATCAATTATTGAAAATTCTCTGAATTATAAATATTCACACCCTTATTGCCGATCTGTCTACCATCACAATACGCTGGTAGGTGTATTGCGATAAATAAAGCGATGGTACGTAGCCCTCTGTCGGTGCCACGGTGGAAATCATTCGGTGGTAAGCACTGCTGCCTAACAGCCCCGTCGCTGTGTTCCGTTGTCCATATGGGACAGAGTCGGCATGTAAACAACAATATTGTTGGCCTGCGGTCAACCGGCGTGTGTTTGTTATCGTCCATTGTTGTGGTCGTGGAAATAAAGAAGGACGGCGCCAATAACGCTACTATTTTCTAAAATTATTCAAGTTATAAATATTTAAAGAAATAGCAAGTTGATTTTTTTTATCATGAATGTTGTTGTAATAAATCTGACCGTTCTATTGCTCTGCTTGTAGAGATTGGAATACTCATGAAATAGACTTGCCATGTAATATAAGGGAACGACTGTTTTGTCTACCATTACTCTACCGAGTCGGTTATGTCTCGTTTGTTATGATATTCACCGAAACTAGAATGATCAGACGATTGGGAGACGGTATTCTCCAACAACTTAAAGTGTAGTACTCCCAAATCGAGAACAACCCTCTCCTCCCAAAAAATACACAAACAAAAAACAGTCACATGAGTAAATTTTTTATTGTCATAGTTTGTCGTCTGCGGAAAAGGATGCCTCGCGCATGACTCATAGCAACTCACCTTTACATCCTGGTACTTTCCCCACGCGGCATCGTTTTATCTTTATCCACGATCAAGGTCACCGTTACTACAACTTTCTATAAAATTAATTTCGAGTAATTTATGAGTGTAGCCTGTTCAATTCCTTTTTTTTTCTTTCAACACTGTGTTCGATCGTTTCTTTTGTCGTGAAAAAATATATGTATTCTCGTCACAATAGCTCTTGTTTTTATCGCCGTCGCTTCCTCTGAAGTTGATAATTTTCGAAGCACAGCTTTCCCGACACGAATCACCTTCCGTTAAATGTTCTACATATATGTTCATTAAAAACCTCCATTACCGGGACTGTAACATCGGAGTAAAAACGCCATATACAAGAAATACCTAATTAATAATGAAATAATTAAAACTAGATGCCTTCCAGTTACCTAAGTTTTTCAACTTGAAGTATTACAGTGTTTGCTAATTTGCATAATTCTGATCCCAACGAAAAATTGTCACGTGATTTTTCCACACAAAAAAATCATGCCCAAAAATTAAAATGACAGCAGAGTATGGCCGGTTGTTGAAAACCGTAAGTCTTCCTCACAGAGGCACACGTGATGATTGCTCGATCGTGCAAAATAGTGATATGTCTTACTAGGATGTTTTTTTTCCCATGTACTATTGCTCACAGAATCTGTCACATTATTTTCCTTCCCAAGCTTACGCAAGCAATCATTAAACATTAGAAAAATCGACAAAAAAAGTAACGAATTGTTTCCAAACATCACCAGATAATTGGAAAGATAAGAAATTAAATGCGATACAAATTTCGTCCTCAGACTCTACTTTGAAGCGATTGCGCAATATGATTTATAAAACAATGTAAACAAAATCAGCGGGTTATTATTGATACCTTTTACTGTCCTGTAGTTGTGTTCATATTCAACAAGGTTCTATTAAAACATAAAGTGTCTGGCCAATTTTAATTACTAACACACAAACAATATCATATAAATAAACAATCGTATATTTAAGCGGACAAACCGTGACGGCGTGTGTTTGTTATCGCCGAATGTTGTGGTCGTGGAAATAAACCGGCGACACCCGTCATGCTATTGTTTCTAAAATTATTCCCTATACTATTTTTTTTAAAAAGTAACAAGTTGACTGTTTCAATAATTTTGTTCTAATAAATGTAGCTTTTCCGTAGTGGTGGGAATACTCCTCAATTATACCATGTAATATAAGGGATACCATTCTTACTCTACCGAGTCGGTTATGTCTCGTTTGTTATGATATTCACCGAAACTAAAGTGGTCTGACGATTGGGAGACGGTATTTTCCGACAACTTAAAGTGTAGTATTCCCGAATCGCAAAAAAAAAAAAAAAATAAAATAAAAAAAAAAAATAAAAAAAAAAAATATTATTGCCATATGTCGTCGTCTGCAGAGGATGCCTCTCGCGTGACCCATGAGAACTCACCTTTACATCCTGGTACTTCCCGTACGCGGCATCGTTTTGTTTTGTTTTATCCACGATCAAGGTCACTGTTACTACAACTTTCTATAAAATTCATTTCGAGTAATTTATGAGTGTAGCATGTCCAATTTCAGCTTTCTATCGTCACTATGTTGGATCGCTTCTTTTGTCGGGAAAAAATATATTTCCGTCGCCGCAGTTCTTGTTTTATCGCCGTCGCCTTCTCTGTAGTCGATAACTTTCAGAACGCATGCAGCTTTCCCGACACAAAACCCCTTCCGTTAAACGTTCTACATACGTTCATTAAAATCCCCATAACGGGGACTGTAACGTCGGAGTAAAACACTCTATACAAATAAAACTGGGCATATACATGTATATGTATTTTCAGATGTGTATAAAATAAAAATAAGTTACCTTCATTTACCTACGTTTTTTTTTTTCAATTATTGAAGTGTTTGGTTATTTATATGAATTTAACGGAAAGCAATAACATGCGAGTAAAACGGAACCAGTATATGTCCAAAAGCTGGTCCCATTAAAATGACGGCGGATTATGGACGGTCATTCAAGAATGCAAGACTTCCATACAGAGACACACGGGGTTCATGTGAGCTCGTGTAAAATATAGTGATATATAATTCTAATGTGATGTTTTCCCAGTGCAACATTGCATTTTGGAATCAATCACCGTTCCCGGCGTACGCACAAAATCATTAAAAAATATCCCAAAATGACAAAAAAGAATAATTCCCGGTAATCTAATAATTAGAGGTCAGAGGTCAATGGTAACAATTAGATACGATGCTGAATTTGTCCTCAGACCCTACTTTACCGCTATCGCCAAGGAGATCGGTAAAACAATACTATCATTTGTAAATTCCCCTGGGTATATCGGCAATGTATTCTCAATGTTCTTTCCTTGCTCCGATTCGCTTTCCACGAAATTAGGCGAGGGACGCATATAATTCCCAAACAAAATAAACAAAACTTGACAATCGTATATTTCGTTACGTCGATGATAAGTACGAGTTGAGATTACCTATATGATTTGAAGAACAATCTAGAGTAGCGACTAAAACCAATAACGGAAGTGCTCACTGCCTAAATCTCAGCATTCAGAAATCGGCTGACGATTTTCTTTCTAGTCTTAGTAGCGACTCCAAAGGATGCCAGAAAACCGTGGTGAAAGAACATCACAACTGTTGAGGGAAGATTTGTTTGCGACTTAAATTTGACGAATAATATCAAGTGGTAAAAGCCACCGTGGAGGGTACGAACGCCAAAATGAGAAAATTCACTGTACATGTAATTCTGTATCGCAATATGTTCTCGTTTTTTTTTTTCAGGGAACTAATATCTAGTTGTTAGACTACAACCAGGCTAAGAAAATGTCTAACTCAGTGTTTTGTTCTATGGCAGCCTCCAAATATAATGTTATGATTAAAACCAAACTCTCCCAGTAGCCTGAAAATCGATGTTTAGTAGACACACCCGGCCGAGATACTTTTTTGAAATCAGTGCGGTATCTAGGATCATCAGTACTAGGATCATCTTAAACGTGTTGGGAGGGGTGTTACAATATTTGTGGTGAATTACGACACTAGACCTACAAAATCATATCTCATTCTGGTCCTCTTTTCAGATACCCCGACAACGAGTTCCAGCTATGTATGGATTGGCGGACAACAGCCGACCAGAAACAGGAAAAAACGAAAGCCTTACACCAAATACCAGACTCTAGAGCTCGAGAAAGAGTTCCTCTACAATATGTATCTCACCAGAGATAGACGAACAGACATTGCACGCGCTTTGAACTTGTCAGAACGTCAGATTAAGATATGGTTTCAGAACAGACGCATGAAACTGAAAAAAATGCGGCTGCGAGAAGAGAACGAGAGGAAGCAACAAGATGGACATCAACCGCAACATACCCTGGCATAAGAGACTTGTTCTGCTGCTACAAGTAGCTTTACTTTGTATCATATGCGTGCCATGTTCGGACAATTTTGACTCGTAGATGAACGACCACCTTAAACAGTTGTGAAGCAGTACATTTTTATTAATATTTGACGTTTTATAATACACAGTACTTATACTCGTTTAAATATATCATTCTTTCGTCTTTCTGTTCGCATTTCCGACAATTTCTGTCTGTCGTCTGCCAGGTTGGACTTGTTTGTCGTCTGCCAGGTTGGACTTGTTTGTCGTCTGCGCCAGGTTTTGAACTGACCACCACGTGTCTTATCGGACATTATGAGAAAACGCTGTTAAAATACTACAAACTCTTTTTAAAAAAATACAAATTCCGACTTCCGGTGTTGTCAAATTCAACGACCTAAAATCGGTGTTCTTCGGTGGACAACAAACCCGTGCGACCACCCGAATTGACGGGTTTTACTAAGCCAATAAAATGTACAGGGCGTTCAAGTTATTCTCCAGTGAATTACAATTTTGAAAATTAACAAAAAATCACAAATCTTGACAATTTTGGTTGTTCTCACAGGCTTTATTTGGATCAAACACGGGTCGGTTCACACATACAAGGATGCAAATAGAACCCCGACCACATACGAGAAACACGAATTGTTGAAATTGAAGAACTCCGGCTACCAAGTATTTAATAATATTACGTCCTCAGGATCTTCTGCTGCCATCTAATCCCCTTCTATCACGTGACCAATTTGTAAATATCTCCACTGTACTGTTTTTGTGATGTTTTCCGATATATATAATTAAAAAAAATTAAAGTTGAAGCATCATTTTTTTCTTAAAAGTACAAGCAAAACAGCAACAACATATACGTGAAGTTGACGTTTTCTCTGTTCGATTTTTATAACGTATTTTTATATTGTTTGATTGTACCTAGATTCGTACCGCTGTGGTTCCCTTCAGAGAAGATTGTCGCTGGGATTTGTTTTATTATTTGTGTTATTATTCCCACTACTTGTAACACTAACATTAGCGTGATACCACGGAAGTGGCATTCTAGATATTGCTATCGTGTTGAAGTATTTAGCGCACCGAGAGTGACTACAAAAAGTGCCCGACCTCAGTCACATTTGAGTCCCAGAATGCCCCAGTTTGGCCAACGCCGCAATGAATTTCGAGCGGACGTGTATTTGGGAATAAAAAAGACATATTTGGCGCAAAATGATTGAACAATAGTAACAAAACTTCTGGAACGCGTCAGAAATGTGCAGACTGCTCTAAATTTGATGTAGTCTGCTATCAGTCGTTGTAGATTACACGAGATCAAAACTACCGCCTGACAGTAAATCATTGTAGAGTACAGACAAAGTTTCTCTTATCAACCAGTTGAATTCAACTGGGAGAACAACTTGTCAGTTTTTAAAATATAATAATTTGACAAAATGTGGGCACCTCAGTTTTATATATTTCAAATCGAACTGAATATCTATGTTCATTGCGAATAACGCCAGCCGCCATTGTCTCTACAATCTGCCGACAACTCTAAAATTCAACTTTGCAGTTTGTTTTCCTTCCAAAATTTCTTGTTGTTATTTTGTTCTTGTTTTCCTTTCAAAATGTGTTGTTTTTATCGCGTTTTTGGTGGGAAATGCGCGGCGTGTTTATATTCCTTGATTCGTTCACCGGACATCTGTCCCATCGCATGTTTACAGCCTCTCGCAAATTTTACTACATTTTGTCTGTGATCACAAATTTCGCTGAATATTTTACGAGTCCGGGGGCTCAATTTTAGTCCAGTCGTCTGCCGCACTCAAACATTGAGCCTTGACCCTCGCATAAAACTTTCCACTTCCCCGTGTTGTGTCTTATTTTACACAATCCGAAACAGTTCGAAGTGGGACTCACGCATTAGTCAGCGCTCTGAAATTCCACGAACAAGAAAGCAAATCTCTTTCGTTTTTCAACAAGATGGCCACTTTACGCCCACATACCTACATTCCTGTATATTTACGATGTTTGTACGCCGTTTTCCTGTTCAATGTCGATATTACATACTAATTGTTTCAGACCTAAAACTATCCATTTTGTTGTTTCTTTGAGCGCCAATAAACATGATCCACATTCAAGAATCTTAAATCTTTATATAAAGCGAAAGTTTTTTTTAGACTGATTTTGTTCGAGGTAGAGTACGTTTTTCAGATTGCCTCGGCGGGAAGGTGCGAATGTAAACTGAAAACAAATAATTATTTTGACTGCTAATGTTTTCTCCTGACATTTTCAGGATCACCGTTTTCAACCACAAGTATTTAACATCTGGTTTAAAAATGTAGCAACGAATTCCCCATTTCTCGTACATGCACAACACCAATATTCAATTATGGTTGGCGACATTAAGAGAGCTGTAAGCACTGTTTTTTTTTTACGTTGACTGTAAGACCAGACACGGTGGTGTCAGTCAGACCGTACGATATAAATTATTCAAGTCTATGATGTCACTATTTAACGGCACTAACTCTCGTCTTTAAAACGGTGCGTTACAAACTATTCGTTTTAATCCATGAACACATATCCTCATATCAATATCGTCTGCTCTTATCGTAGTTTTCTGAGTATATGGGCTCAGTGGATTTGCTTCAAAACTTTACAATGACTATTACATGATTCCTGCTAGTGGGTTTTTATAGTGTAACGTATTTAATATGCGCCCTCATATGCAGTCATAAATTTGACAGAATATCCGAGCGTGCGATCTCATAACAACAATTACCCATGATGCAACACTGTAACGCGCTGCAGGTAGAGATGCCACGGTTTACATATTAAGATAAACTTTCCACCGAGGCAATTATTATAATATTGTTATACCGATATGTTTACGACCAGTAACATGAATATCTAGGAATTGGGACGTGTATTTTTTTCTTAAATGACACGGATTCAATCCTGAAAATCAGCCTTGTAGAATGCCGTTCACCAGCCGAGATTGTTGATGTTTAACAATTTAAAATAAATTATCCAGCGTGGTGTCATTAATGACGTAGAAACGTGTTAAGTGTATTCTTCCCGTGCCCAGATAAGGTTAAGGTTTATATGGAATAATGGCTGCATAAAAAGTCGACTTCTACCATGTTTAGTTGTGTTGCGTAATCAATATTTTCTATTATTATATGTTAATGATGTTTAACCAACTTGATATACAAGTCCGTTGCCGTAGGAAAAATGATTCCAATCAGCAAAGTGAGGAGTTCTCTTCTCTTCTCTTCTCTTTCTTCTCTTTCTTCTCTTCTCTTCTCTTCTTTTCTTTTCTCTTCTCTTCTCTTCTCTTCTCTTCTCTTCTCTTCTCTTCTCTTCTCTTCTCTTCTCTT